AATAATGATAATAATAATATTAATAATAATAATAATAATAATAATAATAAATAATAATAATAATAATAATAATAATATATAATGAATAATAATAATAATAATAATAATAATAATAATAATAATAATATAATAATAATAATAATAATTATAATAATAATAATAATAAATAATAATTAATAATAATAAATAATAATAATAATAATTAATAATGAATAATAATAATAATAATAATAATAATAATAATATAATAATAATAATAATTTATTAAATTTTCTGCATAAATTATTTTCTCAGAGTAAAAATAATTACTTATATGATAATTATAAGTTAACATGGCAACAGGACACGACTCGTGAGAGATTAAATAAAATCTATTTAAATGTAACATTTCTGGCAAGGGTTAAATTATAAATGTTGAAAAATTATTGTGCAATTAACCATTACAGCTGGACAAGCAACTTTTTTTTTAATCAGCGAAGCAAATTTTTTAATAAATAGTTAATAATTTACGCAATTTTCCAGTAGATAATTGCCTAAGTTAGTTAAGAACAAATCTGTCACATAATAAGGGTATTCTTCTTCAATATGAGAGATGATCAGATGCTTACGAGAGTTGCAAATCGTTGCAAAGGATTCTCGGTTAGTTAAGTCATGTAGCAAGGAAGTAGAGGTCATGTAGCAGCTGGCTACATAAAGGCAAGTAATAACTACAGTGGCTAATCTGCTACAGGGGTGAATGTAGGAAGACATTTTGCCTACTTTTGTTTATAGCCACTTGCAAGATAATAGCATATGTAAACAAGGAGCTTTGCAACATCTTGCAACGCTCATGAACATTAGCTAATATTGAGCAATATCATATTGTGGTCAAGGACATTTATAGCTGTTCTGAGCTTCGAGTTTCCCGGGAAATTTTGGAATACGGGTCAAATTACAAAGAAACTTGGCCAGCTGTGTAAGCTTCAGTGAAGCGTTTTACCTCTCCATAGCAACGAAAGTGAAGATGTTAGGGATTGTAAAGCCAACACGCTAGTAGAAATAAATAGGAGGTTGTCACTAGTATTAAATGGGACGTTGTTTGCAGTGAATAATAATGATAAAGAAAGTTGTTTTTTAAGGAAGGAAATTAGTCTTCCGTACTCCGGAAGTTGTGTGCTGTAGTCGACGATGATAGAGGTAATATTAATCCATCTACTAATTGAGGTAAGAATATGCTTTTATCTACGACTCACAAATTAGATGAAGGGATCATTTATTTTGTAACAGGGATAGGAAGACGAGACAGGAGGTGCTGCCCTGGAGGTGACGATGGTAATATTGTCCACAGGTCAGGTAATATTATGTGAAGTGATGATGGGTACTGGTAATATTATGTGAAGTGATGATGGGTACTGGTAATATTATGTGAAGTGATGAGGGTACTGGTAAATTATGTGAAGTGATGATGGGTACTGGTAATATTATGTGAAGTGATGATGGGTACTAGGTAATATTATGTGAAGTGATGATGGGTACTGGTAATATTATGTGAAGTGATGATGGGTACTGGTAATATTATGTGAAGTGATGATGGGTACTGGTAATATTATGTGAAGTGATGATAGGTACTGGTAATATCATGTGAAGTGATGATGGTACTGGTAATATCATGTGAAGTGATGTGAAGGTACTGGTAATATCATGTGAAGTGATGGTGGGTACTGGTAAAATATGTGAAGGTGTGGTGGGTACTGGTAATATCTGTGAAGTGATGGTGGGTACTGGTAATATCATGTGAAGTGATGGTGGGTACTGGTAATATCATGTGAAGTGATGGTGGGTACTGGTAATATCATGTGAAGTGATGATGGGTACTGGTAATATCATGTGAAGTGATGGTGGGTACTGGTAATATCATGTGAAGTGATGATGGGTACTGGTAATATCATGTGAAGTGATGATGGGTACTGGTAATATCATGTGAAGTGATGATAGGTACTGGTAATATCATGTGAAGTGATGATGGGTACTGGTAATATCACGTGAAGTAATGATGGGTACTGGTAATATCATGTGAAGTAATGATGGGTACTGGTAATATCATGTGATAGTAATGATGGGTACTGGTAATATCATGTGAAAGTAATGATGGGTACTGGTAATATCATGTGAAGTATGATGGGTACTAGTAATATCATGTGATAGGAGCAGGATATTAATACTTAGTTTGGAGAAAAGGATTTAGCAATGGCAAGAAGATAGAAGTGTTAGTAAAGGAACTGACAGCTTTAGATATAAGAAAGTCCATTGGGATTCTGAATACATGAAATATTTTGCCTAGGAGAGAAGATGTGTAATCAACTGGAAAAATGGATGGTTACGACGAATACTGCAAAGAACTTTAGTTTCTCCACCAAGTGATGTTGTATGCAAGGAATGATGATGCTTTTTTTAGGGCAAAGGTGATTGTATTTGCTGACTCGAAGGGGCAGTTGCTGAACTGTTTCGGAAAATAGAGACCTTGGTATATGTGGGGACGGATGAAACAAAAGCTGCCGAGATGTTTGACGGAAACGTTAAAAAAACATTATAATTCGTCATATAGTTTGTAAATAAAGCATAGATGGTAATACACAAGATAAAGGGAGGCTTGTGATACCTTGAAGTCTCGCTGGACTACTGTAGAGACGCTGGAAATAATTATTACGATGCTAAGTACTAATTGAATGTACAGGAATTATAGACAATAACAACGTGGTGGATCAATTTGAACTAGAAGGAAGATGCCTGTTGAATGCCACATTCAAGGGTTTTTATAATATTCCTACACAGACGTGTAACAGAAAGAGAATTTCGCAACACTGGTTGTTACACACTGTTCATCAATTATTCACAGTCCTATCACTAAAGAAACTGTTATCACTTCTCGTAAGTGTTCTGCTGTTATTCTTTTATTCTTTCTTGCAGAAAAAGCGCCATTACTATGTCTTTGTATTACTGCAAAGGCAAAGCACTATTGCTCAAAAATTGAAGAATATAAGCATAACCCCAGAAAGCTCTGGCAACAACCTAAAACAGTTGGCGGTATAGCCATAGCCAGTAGATAGTCTAACATAGTACTCACTATCGATATGGGGTATGCCACGAAACATCTAAGGTGGCAAATGCTTTAATTCCTACTACCAAACTGTTGCATCAACACTAGTAAGTAAACTACCAGCTGCATCAAATACCCTTTAAACAGACTCTGATAAGTTTCAAAACCATACTTAACCAATAAAGGGTAACCCCAAACGTTGTCAACTAGTAGTGTATCTCTGACTTCATTCAAAAAACTAAACAGGTTAAAACCCCAATAAGAGCACAGGCCCTGATAAAAAACCCCTCAAGTTTTAAAAGTTGGGGCTTTTGAACTGTCAATCCCCCTTGCTCACATAATAAATTATCAATCACCACTAATACCGTACGGAGGGTTCAAAGGGGCCAGAGTTACTCCTATCTTCAAGAAAAATAATAGGTCTGATGTAAGCAACTATAGACCTGTTAGTATACTCAGTATAATATCTAAAATTCTGGAGAGGGCGGTGTATTCTCAAGTAGTTAAGTACCTTAATGACAACAGCATTCTCCATAGCTATCAATCGGGCTTTAGAAGATCATACTCAACCGATACCTCCCTTATTAATCTGATGGATTACCTGAGAACTGAAATGTCAAAAGGGAACCTCATAGGTATGGTAACCTTAGACCTGCAAAAGGCCTTCGATACTGTCAACCACAATATTAGGTAATAAACTCCAAGCTATCGGTATAGGTTCTGTAGACTGGTTTAAGTCCTACCTTAGCAACAGGAGACAAATAGTCAAAATCAACAAAACGGAATCAGAACCCCTGCCGATAACATGTGGAGTTCCCCAAGGTAGTATTCTGGGTCCCTTACTATTCTTATGTTATGTCAATGATATGCCTATCAGTGTCAAGTGCAAACTCCTACTGTATGCAGATGACAGTACTCTGTTTAGTGACAGGTAAAGACCCACAAGATATTGCTAATGTTTTAACACTGGAACTGGAGTCCTGCAGCAAATGGTTAGTAGACAACAAACTATCATTACACCTAGGGAAAACTGAAGCCATTCTCTTTGGAACGAAACATAAAACTGAGAAGGGTAAATAATTTTAATGTTCAGTGTAATGGGGAGTCCATCACTTTGGTTTCATCAGTTAAATATCTGGGAATCCCCTTTGACCCATGCATGTCAGGAGAATTGATAGGGAACAGTGTAGTAAAGAAAGCGAATGCCAGGCTGAAATTCCTGTATAGACAAGCACAGTGTCTACCTACTGAGGCTCGCAGGACCCTATGTCTAGCCCTTATACAATGCCATATGGATTACGCTTGCTCTTCTTGGTACTCTGCCTTGACAAAAAAACTGAAAGATAGACTGCAAATCACCCAGAACAAAATCGTAAGATTCATCCTGGGGCTGGGACCAGAGAACATGTAGGCCAGGATGAATTACAGCAGTTGGATATGCTGAATGTTGAAGACAGAGTAAAACTACTGAAGCTAAATCATGTTTATAAAATTGCTCACGAACAGTGTCCAGAATATCTTGCTGTCAATTTTGTCAAGGTTGGGAACCAAAGCAATCATAGTACTAGGGGGAGAGAGCACAACTTTGTAGTACCCACAGTCAGTGGCCAGGCTTCAAACACCTTTTATTGTACAGCAATAAAGGAATGGAACAGACTACCCGCACATGTCAAAGCCAGTCATAGCTTGAACCAGTTCAAGAAGAGTGCCAAAAAGTGTCTGATGAATGAAGCAACAGAAAGGGAGGGGAATGATTTTCTATTTTTTAGCTAAAATACGTGTAAATTTTACCTTATCCCTAGTAATGACCCTCGTATTGTAGATAGTCGTAATGACCCTCGGGTAGTAGATAGTCTTAATGACCCTCGTATTGTAGATAGTCGTAATGACCCTCGGGTAGTAGATAGTCTTAATGACCCTCGTATTGTAGATAGTCGTAATGACCCTCGGGTAGTAGATAGTCTTAATGACCCTCGTATTGTAGATAGTCTTAATGACCCTCGGGTAGTAGATAGTCTTAATGACCCTCGTATTGTAGATAGTCTTAATGACCCTCGGGTAGCAGATAGTCTTTTTAGTATGATAATAAGATGTTATCTTCATTATAGAATAATAAGAAAATATTATAACCTTTATATTATAATAATAAGGTAAAAGGACCCCAATGGAAATAAGTCACTCTGTCTGACTTTTTTGGGTTATCCTAGGTTATCCCAGGTTATCCCAGGTTATCCTAGGTTCTCTACACATATGCTGCTATGTATGATAATTCTATGTAACTGTATTGTGTATACCTGAATAAATTTACTTACTTACTTACTTTCGCACGAGTTGCTTCGAAGAAGTCTAAAAGGAATGTACCCCGCAGCGGCTCTCGCTGGCCTGGCCCGCCCTCGTGTAAACGATTCGCTGATACAAGCAGATTTGCCTTCGTTGCCAAACTGCAACAATAACCATGGTGGATTCAGTTTGAAAGAGAGGAAGATGCCTGTTGAATGCCACATTCAAGGGTATAAATTATTCCACACAGACAGAGTTAACAAGAAAGAGAATTTCGCAACACTGGTTGTTACACACTGTTCATAAAGTATTGTCAATTATTCACAGTCATATCACTAAAGAAACTGTTATCACTTCTCTGTAAGTGTTCTGCTGTCTTCTTTCATATTCTTTCATGCAGAAAAACGCGCCATTACTATAGTCTTTGCTATTACAGTGTGACGCACGAGTTGCTTCGACGAAGTCTAAAAGGAATGTACCCCGCAGCGGCTCTCGCTGGCCTGGCCCGCCCTCGTGTAAACGATTCGCTGATACAAGCAGATTTGCCTTCGTTGCAACACTGCAACAATTTGCAACACAAATGCTTGAAGCTCATTATGTCCCACATGAGAGGCAAAAGTTTCCCTGTACCATTCCTGTTGTGGTACAGAGATTATTTACGCTCGTTAACTCACACTGGTTGCAACACTAATCTCTTGCAAAGAAATTACATGACCTATGACTAGTACACGCTGGTTAAACATCTGCTTATAATTACTTGATGTGGAAATTAACAACATGCTTGCCCCTTCTGAGAGGGCTGGACCCCTCAGGGCTGAAGAGCTGAAGCGGGGCCGATACCCCCTTCGTTAGAGAAAATTTCTCCACAACTGTTTCTAGACGGACGTGAAAAAAACTGTGGGACGAAATTAATAAGACATTTAGATATAAAAATGTGGTTTATTAAGAGATTTTTAGCATTAGCCAAATTGATTGCAATAATTTGACAGATAATCCAGGTAATTCCAAGAAAACCCCTTGTTCTTTTTTAATAGTTGTAAATCTTACAAAACGAAATCACATATCACTCAGTTTCAGTATTTAATAGAATAACAATACCTTGATAAATAGAACCAAGTCAACATCCCTGATTCAAGGTTCCCGATTCAAGGTTCCTAATTCAAGGTCCCTGAGTCAAGGTCTCTGATTCAAGGTCCCTGATTCAAGGTCCCTGATTCTACCAACATAATCCCTGAAACGACTAAGGGACTTGTTTGCTACAATCGACATGCATAACCTGATCGGAGATTATCGTGTAGCATTACAACCCAGGAATCCAAATGGCCTGTTATCCTGGGTGTAAAGGGAGCAAAATAAACACAGCAGAAAGCTTTTGACTTATATTATCCTTCACCAATTTAGAACAGAAGTATGTACACTATACACACTATGTACAGTGACAGGCATTAGTGCACTCCACGGTAAGCAAGGCAGAACAGAAGCCACTAGAGAGCAGACCGTGCTTCAACCAGCTCTAGAATGGGAATGACAAAGGCAGACAGGAGAGTGGTACCCACATAACATCTGCGATTGCCTAAACCATCTTCTCATTGGCTGGAACCTGAGTACTGGTTGAACGACGGGGTCCCATCGTCAACTCTCAGTCACCTGGTTCGCTGGTTGGGGGAGATAGCCTGTTAATGAGGGTGTGTACATGTGCCGAATAAAGGTTACGTACTCTTTGCATGCCACATGTAGTCCAAGACGTCGCAGACGACCTCTCATATAATATTGTCAAAACTTTTATAACCTGCCCGAGCTACATATTTTCCAAATAAAGAAATTACATCAAACAGCAATAAACTATAAAGATTAAACCATAAAATAAATCATCTCGTAGGTAACAAGAGAAGTATTTACAAAACGAACTAGAACAGGAGAAACACTGTTAAAGAAACATTATGCTCAGTCAAATCAGGAAAAGAAACACATAAGTCCACCCCAAATATCTTCCTTCAGGACCATAAGAATTTGATTAGAAGGGAAGAAATAGGCCAACATAAGGGTAACTCAGGTTAGTTTACTCTTAGGGATAAATTCTTAACAGTAATTTCCTGTGTTTTTACGCAGGATGAAGGAAATGTACAGAAATGTACAGAAATGTACAGAAATGTACAGAAATGTACAGAAATGTACAGAAATGTACAGAAATGTACAGAAATGTACAGAAATGTACAGAAATGTACAGAAATCAGTAATTTTATTGTGCAAAATTAAAGTCACTGGTGATACTGGTGTCACTGGTGACACTGGTGCCACCAGTGCCACAAGTATTACCAGGGTTACCAGAGTCACCAGTGTCACCAGTGTCACCAGTGTCTCCAGTGACACCAGTGTCACCAGTGTCACCAGTGTCACCAGTGTTACCAGTGTCACCAGTGTCACCAGTGCCACCAGTATTACCAGGTTTACCAGAGTCACCAGTCTCACCAGTGTCACCAGTGTCTCCAGTGTCACCAGTATTACCAGGGTTACCAGAGTCACCAGTGTCACCAGTGTCACCAGTGTCTCCAGTGACACCAATGTCACCAGTATTACCAGTGTCACTAGTGACACAAATGACACCAGTGTCATCAGTGTCACCAGTATTACCAGGGTTACCAGTGTCACCAGTGTCACCAGTGTCACAAGTGTTACCAGTATCACCAGTGAGACCAGTGTTACCAGTGTCACCACTAACACCAGTGTCACCAGTGTTACCAGTGTTACCAGTGTCACCAGTGACACCAATGTTACCAGTGTCACCAGTGTCACCAGTGTCACCAGTAACACCAATGCCACCAGTAACTCCACTGTCACCAGTTACACCAGTGTCACCATTGTCACCAGTGTCACATGTGACACCAGTGTCACCAGTGTCACCAGTAACACCGTGTCACCGTAACACCAGTGTCCCCCAGTAACGCCATTGTCGCCTGTAACCCGTGTCACCAGTGTCACCATGTCACCGGGGTGACCATGGACCATGTTACCCGTCACTGTGTCACCATGTCACCAGTGTCACCCCAACACCCTGTCACAGGGTCACCATGTCCCAGTAACACCAGTGCCATCAACACCGTTCATCAGAACACTAGTGTACCGTAAAACCCCGGTACCAGTAACACTAGGTCACCAAAAAACCCCGTGT